CAGGAGACATCTGGCAACATTTGAAGGTGTTTTGTCACATGGTTGCCACATGGAGAGCTTGTGGAGAAGAGCTGCGACTGCCATCTAGTGGGTGAAGGCCAGGGATGTGGCTCAGCATTCCACTGCGCACAAGCAGCCCCCACAACCTAGAACTTGGTATGGGGGAATCACTCCCAGTGGTAAAGTGGCCCCGACCACCTGCCGAGTTCCTCCTTCACATGCCCTTCCCGTCTCCTGGCAGAGGTCTACCTGAAGTCCCCATGCACCACCGTGGTCCGCTGTTCCTCAGGGAGGTGTCCCGGCAGCCACTCAATGAGGCGCTCCATTGCCGGGACAGTGCTGGTCTCAGAGGCCCGGTACTGCTTAGTCCAGATCTGCACTTGGCGCCGGACATAGTCCCCTGCAAGAGAGAAGAGGTGATTTAAATGCAGCTAGGACGACGGCTCCATCTCGCAGAAAGCTCCTTTAAAGGCAGAAAGTGTATTCTCATCTTCTACAAGCGATTTGGGCATTAAGTGGGGAAATCTGAAACCCTTGAGTGCTTTGAAAATTCTTCTGGGCAGAAAGCCATTTGTGATGCTCTGGGGTGACCCAGCATCCTCTCTGGGCGTACTTCCTGTGGCTGCTGCCCAGGGTGGAAGCCACCAGCTGGATCAGCATGGTCTGAAATATTGTCTCCAGCTGCACCATCTCCAAGTCAGATGTTCAGCCCACCTAGTGTGGGAAACTGAGGGGCTGCATGAGAATGTAAGCGGCCAGATTCTCCATGCTCATAATCACGGAGTCTGGAAAGCCAACCGGGTGGGAGAAGGTTCTCACGGTTATGAGACAAAAATGACTCTAAATACACATTCTCGTGACTGAAAACAGTCCTACTATAGCTGTCCATAAAGGAGCTGTCATACAAGATGCACCCAGAGGTTATCTGTAGTTAAGAGCAATCAGATTCTATGGCCCAGCTAACTACCTTCTGACAGCTCTTTCTGGTACTGATCACAGATTGTTCCCTGAGGAGGGCTCAAGGACATACAAGGTTAGGTTTATCATGCCAACTAGGCCAGTAATAACATGTGGGCAGAGTTTAATCAGGTCGCAGCTTGATTGGAGGGCAATGAGATAAATGGCTCTGCAAGGACCACTCCGTCCCTCTTGCTCCCTGGTGATCGGACCAGCATGCTGTTGCTTTAGCTAATTCTCTGCCTCAACCTGTGTACTACACTACCTGTGAGCCAAGCCAACCTAACCCATGGATCGTGTTGCTAGAGCTTGAGACTCCTTTGAGTACATCGCTTAAGCTTGAGGCTGGTGGATCCTGTCACCTTACTGGAGTTCCAGATCCCATCAGGGCCTGCCTCGCTAAGTTCCTGAGCTCTGACTGTTGCTGACCCACCATGCTGTCTGTGGCCTACAGCTGACTCTGCCTATCTTGCTGAGGGAGGACTCCACTGTCTGTTTGCTTGACCTTGGACCCAGCAGCCCATGTGAGTTGAAGGACTTCCAGTATAACTGTTCCATGAAAGTGAGTTGAACTGAGCCCTTCGTACTGCCATTTGGACTAATTAGTTATTATATTCTGGTTATTATATTCTTTCTTTCATATATATATTCATAAGTGTCCTGGTTTTTTTGTTTCTCTAGAGAGCCCTGCCTAACACAGCCATTGACTCTCTATTACCTGCTTATTCTATTACCCAATTGCTCTATTATATTATCACTCTATTACATGTATGTCATTGAAAGATTTGTAAGCCCCATGAATACATATACCCATTGGAATGGGGAGCCCCTGTGCCTCACTCTTCTGTCTTATTTTCCATAATTGCAAAGCGGCTCCTAAGGACCTGCTTGGTTAGTGGAGCCATAACCCACAACCTAGGGAGCCTTTGAGCTTCCTAATGGCTTTGGGAACGTCACAATAAACGAGAAAAGCCTGGTGTGGTCCAAAATCTCATATTGCTTAGAGCCACAATCACCGCCCGTGAAAGATGCAGTCTCGATATCAGACGACCGGCAGCACTGGG